CAAGCAAGGAAATTATCTTGAGATGGAAAGAGATCACATGAGGAGAGTACATGACATCAGAAGAGCCAGTAGCAGTTTTACCCAACCAGGATGAAGTTCTTGTGAGAGTTTGACAAGGATGACTTTTTGAAGTGGTTAGTTCATTCTGCCTTTATTGAGGACTGGGGATGGATGATATGGAATATGGAAATATTAAGGGATATTGAGGGCTTCAGATAAGTTTGGGGAAATATGAGAAGTGAATTCAGGGCCCGCCCAATACCTACTACAACAGGAATATTCAGGGACCAAAGCCATCCAGATGACTAAAGGCCCTTGAAAGAACACAATCAGTAAAAGCCAGAACAATATGATATCTTCAGAGGCCAGCTACCCTACTATGACAAGCCATAAATATCTTAAAACTACCAAACCACAAGAAAATGACCTTAAGTAAAATTTTAATTAAAATCTGTAACATAGACATGAAAATAACCTTTGTTACAATAGACAGTCACACACACACACACATGCACACACACACTAACACCACCAACATCAAAATAACAGAAAATAACAATGGTCATTAATATTTCTCAATGTCATGGATGCAGTCTTCAATAAATAGACACAGGCTAACAGAATGGATGCAAAAGCAGGATCCTTCATTCTGCTGCATATAATAAACACATCTCAGTAATAAACATAGACATTGCCTCAGATAAAAGGGCTGGAAAAAAGTTTTCCGAGCAAATGAACCCAAGAAGTAAGGTAGAGTTGCCACTCTAATATCTAATAAAATAGACTTTCAACAAAAAATATTCAAAAACAGACAAGGATGGACACTTCATACTCATCAAAGGAAAAGTCTACCAAGATGATAACTCAATTCTGAACATCTATGTCCCCAAAACAAAGCTACACACATGTGTAAAAGAAACATCGCTGAAGCTTAAATCGCACATAAATCTCCACACAATTAATAATGGGAGACTTCAACACTCTCATTATCACCCAGGGCATCTAGAAAAAAACTAAACATGAATAATGCAACTAATAGTCATTATGAATCAAATGGTCCTAACAGACACTACAGAATATATCACCTAAACAAAATATGTATACATATTCTTCACAGCACTCCATGGATGTTTCTCTAAAATTGACCATGTAGATCAGAAAGCAAGCTTCAACAGATACAAGAAAATAAAAATAATGCCTTGTATCTTATCAGACTACCATGAATTAAAGCTGGATTTTAACAAAAACAAAAAGCCTACACACTCATGGAAATTAAACAACTTTCTCCCCAATAAGCACAGCAAGAAAGAAATAAAAAAAATTAAAGATTTTATAGAGTTCAATGAAACTGAAGGCATAACATACCCAAATTTATAGGACACAATGAAAGTGCTAAGAGGAAACTTCATAGCACACTAAGTGCCTCCATAAAGAAATTAGAAAGTTTTCATACCAGCAATTTAAGTATATACCTGAAAGCTCTAGATAAAAACAATTACACCAAGAGGACTAGAAGGCAGGAAATAATCAAATTCAGGACTGAAATCAGTTAGAAACAAAACAATACAAAGAATCAATAAAACCAAGAGCTGGTCTTTGAGAAAATCAACAAGATAGACAAACCCTTAACCAAAAGACAGAGGGTCACTATCCAAATAAAATCAGGAATGAAAAGGGAGGCATAACAGACTCTGAGGAAATTCCAAGAATCATGGGCTCTTACATGAAAAGCACAGTGGTTCCATGCCAGTGCCCATATCTGGAGTTAAAGCAGCACACCAGGAATGATACAATTAAAGACCTCCCTAATCTATTGCTTTCTATCATTCCCTTCTACCCAAACCTGCCCTTGTGAAGACAATGTGATTCAGGTGGTTGGATCTTTTAGTGCTGGCCTTCTTAATGTTCTCTCCAAGGATTACTTTAAACAGCAATTGCTCTTGTTTGATTAAACAGTATTGGACCATTACAGATGTTGTCATTGTAATATTTTGAAAATAGCTGATCTATGAAAATCTATCAAAGTTTGGATACAATCAGTGAGTAAAATTCTGATGTCATTTTTCTCAGAAGGAAAGCAATCTTGGTATTAACAGAAAGTACAAAATATCCTAGATAGAAAAACCACATCCCAAATGAGGTCATTTGTCACTGCCATGATAGGTAATACAGCCTACTAATGGCATAAACGAGATTTTAGATAAATGAATCTGATTTGACTTCCAGTTGTAAGTACAGTAGTTAAATCTCTTGCGTTTTTAGATAGATAACAAAAATGTACTTTGGCTGAAATATGACTTCTTCATCAAATGATGTGAATATTGGAGATCCTTATATAAAGAAAGAAACGTGATTCTACCTGGCATGGTATGGTATTGCTTTAGCTCTAGCTCTTTGGAGGTAGGAGTACAGGCAGAGTTAGGTGCAAAAGGGGACAGGTTCCTGTGAGTTCAGCACTACTCTTGTCTACATAGTTTCAGGACATCTGGTGCTATGAAGAGAGACTAAAAGGAAATAAAAATTAAAGGTAAATGCTTAATTAGCTTGCCAAATTTTCACCCTGGAAAAAGCCAATACCAGTAGAGTCCTAAGTGTAACAAGATTGAAACTATCATAGCACAGAGTAGCACATAGACTTCAAGGTCCAGGGATTCGCAAGGATGTAGAAAACCTCCAGCCATGAGAGAAATACTGAAGATACACAAATCATTTCTCCAGGAAGTAAAGGGATCCTTCCCAGCTAAGAAAGGAGTTGAGATGGCCTCAAGAACAGGAGCAAATATTTGCTATAGATATCTTAGACAGAAGATTAGTATCTAGATTATTTACACTTAGGAAAAATATCTACATCATAAGAAGAAAGCCAACCAGTTTGTTGAAAGCAAATAAATTTTTTTTAGACTCAGGAAGAATGAGAATTGTACAGTGAAACTTCAGGAAATGTCATCCAAGATCAATCAGAAAAGGAATAACAAACACCTCTTCGGGAGTACACAGGAAGCTATGCACTGCTGGTGGTGATGTGAAGTATTCTAGCCTGTTTGGTTGTCAATTGGGAGTGTTCTCCAAAAGCCAAAATGTGGCCAACCAAATGGTGCAAGTATACCATTCCACAGATCTCAACATATTGGAGAGATCTTTGTGTATCAGTGATGATTGCAGCCATTTCTGTAATACACTAGGGAAACAAGCTTGGAGTCCCAAACCGTCACCATGGGTAAGGAAAATGTGATGGACACAGATAAAGATGAATTTTAAGCCATAAAGAAATTAAAGTCATTTTATTTACAAGAATCTGCATCTTGTAATGCAAGTGAGATATCTCAGTATATAAGAACACATATTGTGCTTGCAGAGTCTCCAGTCTGAGTTACTAGCACTCTCATGATGCCTTTCAACCTTCCTCAATTCCAGAACCAGAGTTCTGATGCCCTTTTCCTCCCTGTGTTGGAACTACACACACGTGTTGCGAAAGAATATATACAGAAGAGATATGTATATTAAAATAAAACGTTAAATGGTTGTTTTCAGAATCCAATTCAACCTGTTTCTGAAACATGTTCATCCTGATGTTTTTCTTGTTTATGAGTGGTAGGCTGCATATACATGAAAGCCTATATTTCACCTTAGGCTTTCATGTAGTTTCTGTTTCATAGTAATGATTAAGGGCTGGGGTGACAGGTTAGAAACGGGAGGAACTGTAGTAACAGCCTGAGTGTCTTCAGGTTATAGTATATATTTTTGGAACCATACATTGTTCAGTGACTAGTACAATGAAAATAAACTCAAGGAGAATAATTTTATCACCACTGTAGCTATTGATGAATTGATTTAATATTAAATGTTTTGTTTTATTTCATTCTCATATCAAAGTTATGAGAATAAAAACAAATCCTCTCTATATACCATAGATTAAAAAATCGACAAATTCCTCCAGTCAATTTTACTGTTTAAATATTTACATAACTACAGGTGTACCTGTGTCACTACACATTCACATAATACATGAAACTCCATGTATACATATGTATCATTGTCTATATTTATCCTTGTCCTCACCAAGAAACAATTTGTTACAAAGATCTGGGCAGCTCTTACATTGCATAGCCATAATATTGAGAAATTTCCATATCCTTCTCCCTCTGAAGAAAAATCTGAAGCTTCCCAGGAGAGGTGTACTTGGCAGCATTCTCACGTTCCTGTTGAGCCTGCCTCTTCATGGCCTCCCTCTCTGGCCTCTGCTCTTTTGTGATGGGCTGTGAGGTGACTGGTCCCAGAATGTCGACTTTCCTCCATGGAATTGGTTGGTGGCTGAAGTCTTGCAGCAGGTATTGAGTTTGAGTTTCGGGAGCTGATGGCACTTTGTTCTTGGCAGCAGAAAGAAGCTCCCTCTGGAGGGAAGTGTGAGATGATGCTGTATAGGCTGTAGGCCTCAAGGTTTCTGACTGAGGTACAGTGTTAATCTGGATGGTGTTGGTTACATTAGGTTGTGTGGCACTGGAAGGAACTGGCAGAGCTGCCTTGACAGAAGCAATCAAAGATTTGCTGACAGGAAGTGGTTGGGACGGCCTGAGTGTGGTAAGCTCAGCTGAGTGAAAATGACACCTCTCAGAGTAAGCTGCAGTGGGCCTGTGTGAAGCAAGTGTGAGGGGCTTTCCAGAAACAGGTCTGGCTTGAGGCTGGTCCAGGGTTGGGAAAGGCAGAGCTACTAACCTGACCTTACCAGGTAGGGACAGCTCATACTGGGACTCAGATGGATACGTCTTTAAAGCACTGCTCTCTGCCCTCTGAGCCTTGCCTGTTGTTTTGTCATGGCCCTGGCACTCATGTGGCATATCCTGCAGTACTGTAGTGGCTGGGCCTGTCCCAAAATATTTGTTGCTGCTAAAAGTTCTCAGAGCCCAGGAAGATGCAATGACAGGTTTCTTCTCACTTTTCTTCCCCAGTGGGTGGAAGACCTGCATTGAGTCCAGCATGGGCATGCCAAGGTGAGTTCGAGGCTTTTTAAAGCTGTTGTGGTTGAGCTCAAGTGGATCCCTCTTTATCTTGGACATAGAGATTGTGGGCTTCTCTTCAGCTCTGACTCTGTCCCTTGACTGCATAAGCTCCTCTGTTTTCTTGGAATTATTTACTCTGGTCCATTTGGTCTTGTCTTGCCCTTGTCCCCTAGCTCTGCTGGGCCTAATGGGTGATATATTGGGAGCTTTATCCTCCAAGTCCTTTGCCATGTTGTCAGTAGCCCTGTCACTGGTCCCAAAACTGGTCATAGGCCCCTCTCCCTCTACTAAATCCCAGTTTTGGATTTTGGCCTCAGGAGCTCCATCAATCAGCTCAGAGGCTTCATGGTCTTCCTTCCTCACCTGGTCAGAGGGCTCACTGATGACTTTGGAGTTTTCTTGGGCCTGGTCCATCCAGATGACTGTGGAGTCTGTGGATTCAGTTGCTGTAGTATCTTGAAATTGATCTAGGCCTTCGAAAAAGTTGAAGAGTTGGGGAAGGTGAATATCTGCCACCAGTGTAGGGTTATTTGCAAAGTTGATAGTTGACACCATCAAACTGTCCAGTTTTCCTTTCTCTTCCAGACCTAGGCTGATGCCTCCCAAGCTGGCATTGTCAGAAGCAGACTT